CATGGGGATTGAACCGTGTTTCACACGGGGTTTCATGAGAAATCATGAAGAATTGGGTTTGAAGCCGCAAAAAATGGGGATTGAACCGTAACCCAGCAAAAGATGGGGATTTACTGTAACCCCAAGGATGACCCCGGCAGTTTTTTGCTGCTACATGCAGGTCATCAATAATATCAGTACACAATCCAAGGAGAAGCTGTGATATTCTTTGGTTCAGGCAACAACATGGATATTTCATGATATTTCTGGTAAACTAACATTTTGCTATGGAAAATCACAATTCTTAATGGGAAAACTCACTATAAATGACAATTTTCAATAGCTATGTAACAAATTACCAGAGGGTATTTCTGGTGTATCCCAGTTTGCAATTTCCCCCGGTTTGGTCAGCGGCTTCGGCGCTTGGACCCTGACTTGGACCCCCTGAGGATGAAGTGGAGAAGGAATTGGTGAAGCTTAGGAGGCAACAAAAGGCTGGACGGAACCCCAGGGCCTCCAAGGGCACACCCCAGCTGTTTTACCCGGCCTGGTAAACATACAAAAAGCTATTGAACATGGCCATAGAAATAGTTGATATACCCATTAAAAATGGTGATTTTCCATAGTTATGTTAGTTTACCAGAGGGTAGACATAGCTATATGGAAAATGGGTGAACATGGATGAAAATGGCATGAAAATTGCCAGAATTTATGGATCATGACTCCTACCTATTATATTCATTTATATTAAAGATGATGAGTTGCATGGATTTTCACTGATGGTGCATAGAATGGCTTGGAAGACCAGCCCGTTGATTGTAGCTTTTTGAGTGACTCTTTTTTGGACCTTCACATTTCAATCGACAATATAATATATAATATTTCGTTCGGAAAAAAGGAAGCACGACAATACACGACAATCAGGGTTGCTCCAGCCCAGTATTGGTAAATGATAGCCACTTTTGGGTGGTAAATTGGTTGTTTTACCTTTACCGTCTGGTTATTTCACATAGCCATGGGAAATGGCCCATTTATAGATGGTTTACCTATTAAAAATGGTGATTTTCCATGGCTATGTTAAATAACCAGATAATATATATATATATATATATATACCCAATTTGCCTCCAGGGCTTCCTTGCTTCACAAGTCGACTCCTTGTGTTTTTTCCCAGGTCTTGGACCAAAAAGACCGCAGTTGGGCACAAAAGGCTTTGCAGCCACTGGGCGGAAAGGGGATGCGGTCTTCAAGAGAAGTAGATTACAGCATCAAATGTTGGCTAGCCACCATTTTTCCATCAACTTACCCTCTGGTAAACTAACATAGCTATGGAAAATCACCATGCTATTAATAGGTAAATCAACTATTTCTGTGGGCCATTGTCTATAGCTTTTTGTTAGTTTACCAGAGGGTACCATTTGGAGAGTATATAGTATGCCCCATTTTCAGACACCCCAAACATGTCCCACAAAAGATTCATTTCCACTTCATGGTAGTTCAAGTTCCGAGCCATAAAAAAGATGGAGCTGAATGTTGACTGTCAAACCAGGGGATGGGTCAAGTTTCCTGACATGCACGTTACCGGATGCCAGAGTTTTGACTCATAGCCACACATACCCTCCAGTAAACTAACATTTTGCTATGGAAAATCACCATCTTTAAGATGGAAATCAAGTACAAATCACCCATGTTCCATAGCTATGTTTGTTTACCAGAGGGTACCATGGAATCAAAAAAAGCAATTACTGTACATAACCAATATATATATATATAGTTCATTATATATATATATATACACAATCTTTTGATGTAACCAGCTATAGTTTACTGGTTGGTGGTTTCAAACATGAATTCTATTTTCCATTTCATATATGGGATGTCATCCTTCCCATTGACGAACTCATTTTTTCAAGATGGTTATTGCACCACCAACCAGAAAAACTATGGAAAATCACCATTTTTGATGGTTAAATCAACTATAAATGGTCATTTTCAATAGCTATGTTAGTTTATATCGTGTAGTGGGAACGGTGAGGATTCCTCGCTGTTTCAGATGGACGGTCGGACTCCATCCTGGCTGGTTGGCTATACGGCTGTCAACCCACCTTCTAAGCCTCCCGCTTAGTAATTGGATAGTGACTTGCATTTCTGTATATATATATATTATATACATGTTACTGGGTTCATGTTGTTTCTTGTCTCGGCTCCCCTGAAGTTGTCTCAGGTCGGTGTGCCGTGGGGAAGTTTGTATAAAAGATATATATGATATTACTATTCCATTGGACCATTGCTTATTGTAAGACCACAAAACGCATAGGCACGCTGAATTTCACCAACATGAACCTACCATTTGTAGTCATAAACCTTCTTATTGTGTGTTTGTCCATTGCAGGGCACACGACGCAGGGGTACACTGGTTGTCATAAACATGTTTATTTTATTGCTTGGTTTGATACTTGTGACATCCAAACGCAGTGGCATGCTCGGTCAAAGAGAATATGTGGGCGTGGGTACTTCAATGATTTTGTGCAGCACAGCAGATCTTGTGCCAACATCGGTGTGCCTGCCATTTGGTGCTAGTGGGTTCAAGTTTGGGAGCTGGGTCGATGTTGTAACAAGTGCCGATGACAAGATCTTGTGCCAAATCGTGGTGTGCCTATGGGGAATAGGGAGAGGCCCACATGGGCAGCGCCCATGACTTTAACTTACTGATGCATTTTTTGGCACTTTGCATAGGCACACGATGCTTACCTGGCTATCACGGTTCCTACAATACGTCTCAAACAGTCTATGCCCGCTCAAATTTGTCACCGCCGCCTTGTTTGCCAAGCTTGCGTCCCTTTGTCTCCCATCAGTCTCCCTTACTCGCCCTTTGTCTCCTCTTCTGTCTCCTTGCTCTTGCCTGCAGCTGCTGCTTGGCTTGGTTTCCTCTTCTGCTCCACCATGCTCCACCGCTGAAAGCTCTTGAGCTTTACTGTTCTGAAAAGAATGCACAAGCATGTGGCTACCAAAGAGTTTGTCAGGAGACTTAGGGGGTCAGTCTCCCAAAATGTGATTTCGGACCTCGTTTGGACCTCGTTTGCACCTCGTTCGGACCTCGTTAAAATTGCAGCCAGTCAAAACCCAGCCTGGAGAGGTTTTGGGAAGGCTTTGCCATGGTCTGCTGCTTGGTTTGCTGCTGCTGCTGCTGTTGTTGCTTGTGCTGCTGCTTCTGGGCAAGGCACGGTTTTTGGGCGGAGAACCAAGAGATTTGTGAAGGGCTGGAAGCTGTGCGGAAGAAACCAAAAGCATAAGAAGATTACCTGAAAAAAATCGATCCGATCAGCGGTGTGCCATGGGGAAGTGGATGAAAGGATTGATTGGCATGAAGCAGAATTTATCATAGAAACCACAGGAATGTGACGGTTTGTAGGTTGGAAATGCCATGAAACTTGGTGTGCCATGCGGAGATAGCTGATAGTTCTGACTGTTCAAGCTTGCAGGCATATGGCTGCCAACTTTTGGCTATCAAGCGTACATTAAACGCATAGTAAATAAATATATTTGAGTTGCCTTCTTCAGAATTAGTCCATTTTGACCGTCGGTGTGCCAATAGGATTTCCACCTGGCGGAAGATTATTGATGTCTGGCGTAAGCAAGGTGCCATGCGGCTGGCGCAAGTTCTAGTAAATGGCGTAGGATCACGCCGGGGCTCGGGTCAGAGATGCTTTGCACGACTTATTTGGCACTGGGTGTGCCATTGGGAAACAGATAATTAAAGTACCGAAATCAAACGATTCCATGTCCAGAGTCATGACAAGAAAACGGGGTGTGTGCTGCAGAATTGGTTTCTTTTCTGATTTGGATGGAAAGCAGCTTTTTTTCTGCCAATGCGTGTGTGCCAATGGCGGTTGTCAACTTTCAACATGGTTTTATGTTTTATCACCGAAGGAGATGGTATTAGATATGTGTTTCGCAATGGCACGGACACATTTTAGCTACTTTGTTTGCCAAACCAACGATGGCGTGGTACCAGTGTGCCAATAGGATTTGGTCCCTGGGGTAACTTCCGGTTTGCCTGGGGTAACCCTGTATGCCATGGGGATGGGGTAACTTCTGGGTGCCTGGGGCAAGAAAAGACGTCCGCCCAGTATATGTATATATATATATATCAACTCAGCAAATCATTCCTCCATGGGGTTATCATGGCAAATTCTGGATAATGTTACATCGACACTAGTAAAGGGGAGGCCCTCCCCCCTATTTTTTTTTTGGGGGGGGGTCTGCTTTGCAATAGTAAATCGAAAATCCCAACTCTTCCCCAAGGCTTCTGTAAGGTTTTGACAGATCCTCTCTTTTCTGATGGGCTCTGATGGGATCTTCATTGGATTCGGATTGAGAACCTCTGTTTTTTGATAGGCTTTGATGGGATTCTCATTGGATTTTCTGTACCTGGGATGGATTCTGATGAATGGTCTGATGCTTCTGTAGCTGTTACACGTCTAAGTAGGCTGCTCTGCTCTGTGGTAGTCTGGCCATGCCATTGCTGCCTGATCTGTGGGACACAGCCCTCGGTTGCATCCTGGATCTGGTCACTCTGGGCTGCCAGATCTCTGTCTACATCTGGCTGCTTGTGGCATTTTGTGGACATGTGCTGGTGGGCTATGGCTTGGTGACTCTGGGAGAGTTTCTGCAGCTGGCACTGCTGTGTGTGGTGATCACTCTGCTGAGTGGCATTCTGCAAGAGCTGAAGTGGCATGGTGAGTTTCTGAGAGCCCATGGTGTAAAGCTGGACATTCTGAAGCAGTGCGTCTGCTCATGGCAAGTCATTAATTACTAGTTCTGGGCTTTTTTCCTGCATCCATACTAAATCTCAATTAGCCCTTTTACAATTTACCATTGGAAAATCTGATAATTTGGGAATTTTCTGAAAATTATTTGCAACTATTGCGAATGCAGCACAACTATTGCGGATGCTTTGGACCAAGATTGATATCTGCAATTTAAAATCAATAAGGCCTAATTTAAAATCAATAGGGGCT